AGCACAGCACACTGGGACATTTCAGACCTAATAAGAGGCTACAGCCCTACCATTGTCCTGGTGGGCATAACACACTTAAAAGGCTCCAGTCCTGGGTGTCACTCATAGAAGTACAGTATGCATGGGAAGATGGGAAGTTCCACTTCTGCCTGCCCTGTCCCCTCAGTCACAGTGTTATACTCTTGCCCTGATAGAGCATAAGTTAGTGTTTTTTTTAAACCCAGCCACCAAGTTCCAGATGCACAAGTCCTAATGTAAAATAAACCCCACAAATAATATGAAAAAAAACAAGTCAATATAATTCCTCCAAACATTACTAATTACACAGTGATGGTCTCCTTTGAAGGTGACTTAGTTGCAACTAAGGAAAGGACTTAGAAGAATTATGTGTGTGCTCAGGAAAGTCTAAGAAAATAAACTCTTGAAGTAGTCCTGAGGGGACACAAGTAGATGAATTAAACAAGGAAGATGGCACATGATATGGTAGAGTAATTCAATAAAATGGAAGAAATATTTATGAACAACCAAACTGAACTGATGGAAACTAAAAACATAAGTCAAAATTTAAAGGTCTGTGGAAAGTTTCTTCAAGAGAATGAATCAAGGGGGAAAGGATAGAATATTTGAGCTCAGTGTCAAGGTGGAGTAATTGGAACACTCAAAGGACCAAGATAAATTAATAAAAATGTATGACATGGAATAGCAAGATATTCAGGACACTAAAGATAGAAACTTTAAAATAGTTGGGATATGAGGGTGTGAGAGCAGAACTGACCCTGCTCCTTGCTGTCTGATACATGGGTGACCTACCCAGGGCAGTGCTGCACAGCTCCCCTGTGGGTGGCGATGGGGGAAAGCTGGCAGGCTGACAAACCCAGCGATCACCCAGGCATAGAATCAGGACTACAAGATAGTCCACCCCAACACCCACCTCAGCTATGAACTGCTGGAGCAAATAAAGGGACTGGTCCTGCAGACCCAAAGCTACGGGGTCTCCATGATACAAGGCAACAATAGGATATCTGAGAGGAACCCCAGTGAGGGCCTAGTATCAAGGGTGCAGCAGAAACCAGGGGCCCAAAGCAGACCAATGACTCACTGCAACAAGTAAAGATGTTTGGTCTAAAGGGTAACTGTGTAACTGACTGGGCCACGCTATAGCTTCCACACTGAGAGTTTTTTAAAGTTTTTTTTTTTTTGCTTGTTCGGTTTTTTTGTTAGTTTTAATTTTAAATTTTGTTTTGTGGGGGAAGGTTTCAAGGGCAGGTAGGGGGAAGTGAGGGGACCGGGAGATGAGTGGGATCATGATGCATGATGTGACATCCACAAGGAATCAATAACATGTTTTAAAAAGTAGTTGAGATAGAAAAGGCTGAGGAATTGCTTTCTGAACATAGAGATAATAATTGTAATGAAATCATAGTAGAAAAGGCCCCTAACTTAAAGATACAGGAGTAGTTTAAAACGTCAAACAGGGAGACCAGAAAAGAACATCCCCTTGCCATACTATTACTAAACAACTAAATATTTAAGCATTGGAAGTGGCAGAAAAGAAGAACAAGTTACATATCAATGCAGGCCTGTCAGAGTAACATCAGATTTCACATCAGAAACTATAAAAGTCAGGAGGAATTAGAATGATGTTCTTCAAGTTTTGAATTACAACAACTACCAAATCTAACTATTATATCATAGATATAGATATGGATTATCAGTTGTTGTAATTCAAAAACTTGATTATCAGTCATAATTGAAGGAGAAGGCAAAACTTTCCGTGATAAAAACAGGCTTAATGAATTCATGGCCATTTCACAATCTCTACAGGATACTTGAAGGAATTCTTCAGACTGGACAGAAAGACAAACACATTCTTATAGCCACATGGAAGACCAAATCATGCCAGAATAAAAGTTGAGCATGGAGGAATTAAAAAGAACCAATACCTACATAGCCAACAAGATGATAGTAACTAATACTCATCTTTCAATAATAACTCTTAACTATTTATGGTCTTTCCACTCAGTGGACTTCCTCTTCACTTACCTGATTATTTCCATTTCTCTAAAGAAGACTTTTAGTTTTGTGGGGTCTCATTTGTCAGTTGTTTGTCTTAATTACTGAGCAAATGGGGTCTTCCTCAGAAATTCCTTTACTGCAACTCCATTTTGTAGAGCACTATGACTACGGTACTACCCACGTTTTAATCTAGACATTTCAGCATTTTAGGTTTCACATTAAGACCTTTGTTCTGCTTGGAGTTTTTTTTACATGTTGATAGATGTGGTTCACTTCTTATATATGTGGACACCTGGTTTTCAAGTACCATTTGTTGAAGATGCCATCTTACATTTGGTAAATATTATTGGCATATTTGACAAAAGTAGATGGTTGTAGATGATACCCATGATTGGGTTTTCTACTTTGTTCTATTGATCAATTCCGGAGTTTTTTGCCAATCACATACTCTTTACATTGCTATAGCTCTGTAATATAGCTTGAAATCTGGTATTCTAATTCCTCCAACCTTGTTCTTTTGCTTATAGTTCCTTTGACGATCTGGAGTCTTTTGTGGTTCCATATTAACTTTAGGGTGGTTTATTCTGTTTTGTGAAGACTGTCATAGAGATTTTGCTTGGGATTGCATTGAATCTGTAACTTGCTTTTGGTAGGATGGTAATTTCTACAAAATTCATTCTATCACACACTGAGTGTGAGAAGTCTATCTCCTAGTGTTTTTTTCAGTCTCTACATTCAGAAACTTAAAGTTTTAATAGTAAAGATTTTTCACATCCTTGATTGGATTTATTCTTAGATATTTTTGAGACTGCTGTGAATGGGAGTGTTCCTACTATATCTTCCTCATTATGATTTTTATTACTATATAAAAGAACTATGGCAATAAAAACCGTGATACTGGCATAAAAACAGACAGGAAAATCCAGGGAACAGAATAGATGACTCAGACATGAACCCATACATATGCAATCACTTGGTTTTTGACAAAGATGCTAAAAACACTCACCAGAGAAAAGATAAGCCTCTTCAACAAATGATGCCCAAAAACTGGTACCCACATGTAGAAGAATGAAACTAGGCTCTTCTTCCTCCACTTGCAGAAAAATCAACTCTCAGTGGATCAAAAATATTAATATAGGACCCGAAACTCATGGAGAAATTGGAAAGATGCTTCAAGATGCAGGCATAGGAAACGACTTATCAATAGGGACCCAAGGGCTCGGCAAAGAAGGACAAGTATTAGCATAGGGAACCTCCTACAATTAAAATGCTTGTGTGCAGCAAAAGAAACTGTTAATCAAGTGAAGAGGCCACCTACAGAGAGTGAGAACAATCTTTGCCAAATGATAGAAATGTAAAATGTAAACCTGATAAATATCTAGGAAATACAAAGAACTAAAAATAAATAAATTATAGATAGATAGATAGATAGATAGATAGATAGATAGATAGATAGATAGATAGATAGATAAAACCCCAAACAAGGAAACAATTTAAAAAATGGATTGGGGATCTTAAAACAAAACAGGATTCTTCAAGGAGAAAATACAAAGGCCAACAAGTAATCATGAAAGTGTTCAACATCTTGAGACATCAGGAACAGGAAAATTAAAATCATACTGAATTTCCATCTTACTCTTGCATAAACAGCTGTCATCAAAAATATTTTTTAAAGTAACAAATACCCAAGAGGATGTGAGAGGTCAAGAACACTTACTGCCAGTAGGAGTATAAGTCGGTACATCCGTGAAAGAAATCCCTAAATATCCAAATGACCCACATATGCCATTCCTTGGCATCTACCCAAAAGACTCCACAGTTGCCTACAAAGATACCTACACATCCAAGTTAATAGCTCTTGTATTCATAGTAGTGTAGAAATGGGATCATGCAAGATGCTCATAAATAGATGAATGGGTAATGAAAGTGTGATACACATACATAATAGAATGTTTTTATTACTTTATTTATTTACTGTGTGTCTGGGGGTGGGACACCTGTCACGGCACATGTGTGGAGGTCAGAAGGCTTTTGGAGGAGTTGGTTTTCTTCTTCCACCATGTGGAATCAAACTTGGGTTATTATGCTTGGTGGCAAGTTCCTTTACCCTTTAATCCATCTCACCAGCCTTAAGTGATGGACTTTAATTCAGACATAAAGGAGAATAGAGTGATAAAACATTTTAAATTGCTATAAGTGAAAATATAATTGACTTAAGCCAGGATCCAAAAGACAAAAACCATATGTTGTCTTTCCTACGTGGGGTTTTAGAATATGTGTGTGTGTGAGAGAGAGAGAGAGACAGAGACAGAGACAGAGAGACAGAGAGACAGAGAGAGACAGAGAGACAGAGAGACAGAGACAGAGAGACAGAGTGTGTACATGGGAGAGTGAGAGAGGGCAGATGATTTAAAAATCTTAAAAAGAATCACAGGAGAGGGAAAAGGGGGCTTTTAGGGAAAATTTGCCCCCTAATTAAATCTCAAAAATTGTATCTCTGATTTATCAAAAACTCAAAAAGCCATGACTAAATTAGTATCTATTATGAGATACCTTTAGTTCTAGATTATGCCTGTTAGAATTCCTTTTTAAATTTATGTCCAGGTGTAGTTCCTTTTCCGGTGTTATTGAAAATGTGGTATTCTATTTCTGCAGAATTCTCACATTTAAATGTATACATTAAGTTTCATTTTTATTTTGATCTCAGTGTCTTTCATCTTTCATTAGTTGCTATTTCAAAAATTTAAGTCTCCTAACAAAAAAACTATGCAGAAGTCCCAGACATATATCCTCACTTTGATGTTCCTGTCACCTGAATGGCAGTAGTAGATAATACTGTAAGATGTAACACTGGATGGTTAGCACTAGAGACACATATACTGAGGTCTCTTTCCTATAAAGCCACTGATTCTTTGCTTTCCACTTCATCCTACACAATGTAAGCATCTCCTCCCAGAACAAAACACAATTCAACAAATTCCACAGCAAGCGAAAATTTTATTTTATTACACTCAGATATCAGGGTGTTTTCATATGTTCTTTATGTAACTGATGACAGTGTTTACTATTTTCATGGAGCAGGGGAAAGAGAAAAACTTCTTATCAAACAAAAGGATGCATCCATGGAAGCCGTCCTCCACATGGTACCAGGTCACAGGGACCCCATGGTCTTCCAAGCGCTTCTTGTAGAGCAAGGCATCATCCCGGAGGATGTCATTCTCACAGCTCACTAGGAATACCTCAGGAAGCTGAGCAAAGATCTTATCATCTGCTAAGATAGGTGAAATGTGTACATCAAAAATTTGTTTTGTTTCCAGATAGGCAACCTCATTAAAACATCCAAGAAACTCAGGTTCTGAGTCTGAACTCCAGAACTGTCTGGGGATGTTGTCAGAGCTGAGCCATTTCCTGTATTTTTCCCACTTGTCCAGAGGTATGACAGCACCTGTCAAAATGGCATCTTTCCAAGAGTGATCAATGGCCAGGTATTTACACAAACACATAAGCATAATGTCTCTGGTAAGGAATGGCACATTTTTATTCTGTTGATGAGATGGTAAGCGGAAATTAATGGTCTGGACTATTGGAGTAATCAGAACTTGAGCCCGGACCTGGGGGAGACTAGGGCTACTGACCAAGACCTGGATGGTAGTGGCCACAGCCCAACCCCCAATACTCTCTCCACAGAGTATCACCCGAGATGGGTCCACCCCATATTTTTCCAGGCCCTTCAGGAACTGTATGGCGGCATTCAGGCAATCCTTGAAAATGACAGGGTAATGATAGTCAGGAAGCTTGCGGTACCTAAAGAGCAAACACATCATGTCTGTTTACAAAGGAGGAACTAGAAGCAACTTCAATTACCATCCTCTGCTCTCAAATGGGACCAAACCTGACTCAACCCTAAGTAAGCCTGACAACCCTCATTTTCCTTACATGGACATGAGGAACATACCCAGAGTCAGGGAGGCCACAATTCTCCAATCCTACCCACACCATGCTTCTCATAGATGAGTGAACCACACACAGAATGAGGTGAGTTCAAAGTTGTTGCCTTTAGAAACCAATTGGCCACCAAAGACCCAGAAAAGTCATTTGGAACTACTGCCATTTCCACTGACTAAGATTAGAGGGAATGCCCCTCCCAATGTACTGGGCACATGTTGATCCTTGTTAAAACTATAGTTAGAAACCCTTCAAGTTGATATTGATGCTAGTACTAAGGTCTGTTCATAAACGTTCCTTCTGGTGTTTAGTTTCCTGTAGTGAAGTTAAAAGTATGATAATGGGTAGTTTTACTTCCTAACTAAGAGCTCTTGGAACTCTCCCTTGTTGCCATGGTTGTCATGAAGAAGTGAATAATAGTCAAATAGCCAGCTGAACTGTTCTTGTGCCTACTCTAGGCACTTTGAACAACACACACACACACACACACACACACACACACCTTGAGGAAACTACACAACAACCCCATAGACACTTGCCACTAACTCACAACCCTAGCTCTTACATTGGAAACCCAGCCAAAACTGTCTTAAACAGTTTGCACCAGACTTTCCCTGTCACTTTTCAACAAAGCCAGAGGAGAGGCCCTGACCCAATAGCCTAATGGGAGGACTCTTTGGACTGATGCAAGAACAATGAAATTATTCTCATGAATATAATTATTCATTTGCATGAAGGTCTGCTAAGATGGGAACACATATACATTTTAAAAGCTACATATGACAGTAGAATGAGAAATGTCCACAGGGACTCATATATTTAAACACCTGGTCTCGGTGGTGGTGTTTGGGATGGTTATAACCTTTAGTGATATGCCTAGTCTTATTGTACCTTGTTATGCTGTGTTCAGTTGGCATCTCTGGGACGGCTACTCTTTTCTGAAGGGAAAGGGAGGAACAGTGAATCTGGGAGAGAAAAGAGGTGGCAAGGGGAACTGGGAGGAGAGGTGGGAGGGGAAGTTGAGACCAGGATTTATTGTATGAGAGAAAAATAAAGAAACAGAGAAAAAAGTCATTATGTGTCATTATCAGAGATGATAGACCATTCCATCAGACTCTGGAAAGGCAGTAGGGCTGAGGAAAACAAAGAGAGTAGAGGACAGATGATGGGGGATGTTCTTATGTATGCTGTGAGTATATGTTTCTCTTACTGGATGATTAATAAAGCTGTTTGAACAATGGACAGGCAGGATGTAGCCAGATAGGAAATATAGGCAGGACTACCAGACTAGGAGAATTTCTGGGAGAAGGAACATGGAGAGTGAGTCATTAGAGATGCCATGTAGTTGCTGAGGAAGCAAGAGGCCCAAGCATCACCAGTAATCCAAGCTCACATGGAGATACACAGATTAATAGAAATTGGTTAATAATTAAGAGAGAGCTAGCCAATAAGAAGCTGAGCCATCAGCCAAACAGTTTGTAATTAATATAAGCCTCTGTGTGTTTATTTGGGACTAAATGGCAGTGGGACCTGGCAGGACAGAAACTTCCAACTACAGTCAGACTCAAGAGATATCAGAGGGTAATAAAGATTGTATTAGCAACCTGGATATAGGATATCCCTGTTATAGTTTGACAAAGAATCTAGCTATTTTCTGCCCATATTCAGAGAACTTAAATGAGTCTAAAATTTAAGGCTATAGATTAATTTCATAGGAGGAGGAAATTTGAAGACAGCATAACATTGTGCCAATGGAATAGTTATTACTGGTTACTCTCATGGTCTCCATTGAAAAACACCAAGTGGCGCAGAAAAAAATACAAAGTGTACAGCTTAAAGAGGAAAGGAGAACCAAGAAACGTAATGTGATGGAAGGAATGGTGTAATTTTTATCAGACTGGCACCATTAAGAAATGACCTCTTACTCTGCAAGCAATGAGAAAGGTACTGGAGCGTAGGTGGGGGCTGGGACCTCGTGCAACTAAGCTTTCAACATGTCAAAGACAGCTTAAGAAATTCTCTGCTTTACAAAGCAACTGCACACAAAATCTGCTTCCAATGCGATATTTAAGAGGACATGTGTCCACCATGCCCAGTGAAAGGTCTTTTTGTTTTAATTAGTTTAACTTCACAGAGAAACATTACTCTATAGTAAGTTTTTTTAATCAAGGATTTATGCTACCCAAGTTCCTCAAATCATATTCTTTCCTTCAGGTTGACTTACTATATGGTTAAGTGATTCTGTAGATGGGAAAGGTAAACTTTAATCTCATGTTCACATATTCTCATATTGCCACAGTTCATTCATGTACTGCAAGGTAATGGACATTTTTCCAAGCTTCTGTTGTTTTGAACATGGTATGCCCATGTATATGGGACCATGTACAAGAGAATCAGCATCCCTGGACTCCTTTTGCTTAGCTCTAGTTAAAAAAACACACACACACTACAAATGCTGCCTCCTATGCATAAGTCATTAGCTGTCCCAGGACTCTCAGGCCACTCACCCCACTGACAGCAACACGGAGTCTGTCTCCTGGACCAGGAAACTGCACAAGCTATGGTACATGTCTGCAAGAGAAGGTCCAGTGTTGAACAGATGTTTCAAGAACACAGCACTTCTCATCACAGCCCATGAACAGCAGCTATCATAGTGGACATGGCTGGCATCCCTCTCTGAGGTTAGAGAATGTCAATTGCTTCAGCATGTCAAGAGCAAGGAGAGGCAAAGGTGACCAAATGTGAGAGATACTGAGGTGCCTGAGAAAGAGTGAAGTGTAGCCATGACAGCGTCTAAGGTGTGCTTTTAAGGACCCTTCTCTCCGAGAGACAAGACTTGATGGGAAGGTGGAAAATGGAGCCAGTCCACCCCTTTGTGGAGGCAGAGCTGGAGAGATGAATGTTTTCACAACAGTGATCCAGCCGAGCTGATGGGCGCTTGTGAGCATGAGGCCATCATGAAAAGACAGGAATAACCAGTGCTGTAAGTGGGAAAAAGAGGGAGTCACACTCAGTGCCAAAATAGCTCCGCTCAGACACTGCTGTCCCAACCTGGACATAGACTAATATAGAAAATATTGCCATGGAGGCTACAACCCTGCTGGCTGATGTGAACCCCAATCTTTCCATCTACATTCTCTAACACAAGTTCTTACTTCCACTTGTTTTGACTTCCCCCCAAGAGGTCCTCATGGGAATGTGTACAAGATTCTACCTGTCATGGGAACCTTCTTCTCCCATCCCATATAGAAGTTACTTACCCAGGCTACCACAGACAGCACCCCCTCCATGGTAGAAGATGATGCCTCTCCGGAGTTTGGAAGACACTGCCTTGGGCTGGAACAGTCTCACAGGGATTGACCCAAAATGCATGTTGGTTACCACCAAGGTAGGGTTCTTCTTTATGGCACCTATATCACTAATAAACTGAACAAATCTGAGCATAGGGCAAATTCTCAGCTTCTCTAGTATATTTCCCTGTTGGAGAGAAAGAAAGGAAAATGAAAGAATGACCATAATGAATTAAAAGGCAGGAAGGTAGATGCTGCAGCTGCTTAGCATTGTTCAGACATAGTCAACATTTCTCCCTTGCCTCCTACATGGGCAGCAGTCTCATGGGCACACAACTGGCTTTGCACTGTTTCATATGAGTTCAGCAGTTCATGCTTCTCTTCCCAAAAGGTCCTCATTAGGTGATGACGCTGCTAGGACCCAAGTATTTCCTTCCCTTCAAATTCATGTCATTGCCATTGTCAGTGTTAAAAGATGGATGAGGTGACATGGTATCTCCATGTGTGGATTAAGTCCACAATGGAGGGAAAGGAATCATTACCTCTGGAGTAGACTCCTGAGGAGTGAGTTTGGCTGGAATTTTCTGTTTCATGAACACAGGAACACTTATCTTTCTACCAAGGGATGACACAACAAATTCCCATTGACACCTTGTTCTTGGGTTTTCCAGGAAAACCCTATAAGATAAACTACCTCCTATTGTCTATAAATCACCCAGTTTCTGATATTGTTAGAGCAGCAGAAAAAAATAAGACTTCTCCTGAAGGTAAGCTGGCTTACTGCTGAGGGACAAGAAGTAATTAATGACAAAGTTGAGTGTCCCAAAAAAATAGCCTTAACTTTGGTGTCCCAGTTAGTTGACAAGTGATACATCCAAGAGTTGCCTGAGAATAGATTAAGTTGATAGACTGCCAGACGAGATTGTCCTGAGGAGATGGCTGTGTGGGATTGTCTTGATCAATTGTTAATTGATGTAGGACAGTTAACCCCACTATAAGCATCACCATTTCCTGGCCAGATGGTCCTGAGCTGTATTAGAAAGCTAGAAAAGCATGAGCTTTTGAGCAAGCCACCAAGCAGTGTTCCTCCATAGTTTCTGCTTCAAATTCCTGTTTGAGTTCCTCCCCTGGCTTTAATGATCAACTTTAGTGACCTTGAGCTATAGCCTGAAATAAATATTTTCCTGCCCTAAATCATTTATGGCCAGAATGTTTCATCACAGCAATAGAAAGGAAACCAGAACATGGATTGTCTTTTGCTCTCTGAATGACTGTATCCAGCTTGAGATGGTGAAGATGGTTTTCCAGCCATGTCAACAGTCACTGTTACCCACAGTTTTGGGTTATAGAGGGTGCTTAGCCTGTGTATGTCATTAAAAGAAGGAAGTAACCTGATAAATTAGGGCTGTGATATGTTATCCACAGCAGGGATGAAGACATGTACACATTTCCAAAATGGGTTGTTTTATTTATTTTGGGAAAGAGGTGATGCACATGTAAGGCCATCAGAGGACAGTTTATAATCAGTCCTCTCTTTCCCCAGTGTGGGTCTCAGGATTAAACTCAGTTCATGATGTCTCGTGACAAGAGCTTTTGTCCAATGAGTCAATTCACTGACAATTCCAGTGTGATTTTAAGCTAATATGTTGATTCTGATAGATCTTTGCTAAAATAAACCTTAGCCGTATTTCAGGAAACATTACAGGATCTCACAGTGTATGTGCTAAATGCTTCACAGTCGCTGGGTTGTATCCTCTATGGACTTCATACGTACAGTATTTCTTTATCATAAGGAGAACAGCATGGTGGGCTAACAGCAAAGGTTATGGTAGCTGGTACTTACCAGGTACTCTAATGTATCAGTACCAGCCCAAGTAGTTTCAATTATCAACTTGCTTGACCCTTATAAGTCAAGCACAAGAATTTTCTCTGTGACAGAAGGGGAAACTGAGGCATGTCAATGTTAAAGTGTCTTCTTGTTCAGAGTTGCTCAATAAGATGTAACTGACCCCACCTATCACCTGCTCCTTCAATCTTCTGGGGGCCGCTCCTGGCATCAACAGAACCCACCCACACAGGAAAGACTACCTGGCTTCAGAGAGGAAAGAGGCAAGTCCTGCCAGACCCCATCCTCCACTATCCCCATACCTGTGTGCCTGGTTTCAGGGAGACCAGTGGAGACAGAGAGACCACACCTGCACCCACTAGAAGAAGGTATGGGAAAACAACACTGTAAGAACACACTCAGCAATGGAAACACCAATTTGACTCCACCAGAATCTAGAGACCCCACGCCAGCAAGTCCTGAAAAGCACAACATAGATGAAGCAGAAGAGACAGACCTTAACAATTATTTTATGAAGATGATAGAGACACTCAAAGAGGAAGCAAGAAAATCCCTTAAAGAACTAGAAGAAAAAACAAACAAAAAATACATAAAATGGAGGAAAAGACAACCAAAAAATCCAAAAAATAAACAAATCTCTTAAAGAATCTAAAGAGATCCTAGAAAAAAAACAACCAAACAAATGAAGTAAACAACTCAAACAGTTGAAGGCTTGAGATCTGAAATAGAACCATTAAGGAAAACACAGAATGAAGGGATGCTAGAAATAGAAAAGTTGGGTAAATGATCAGGAATTACCGATGTAAGTATAACCAATAGAATACAAGAGATGGAAGAGAGAATCTCAAGTGTTGAAGACTCAATAGAGGACATACAGTCATCAACCAAAGAAAATCTCAAGTCCAACAAATCCTTAACACAAAATATCCAGTAAATATGGGACACCGTGAAGAAGCCAAACCTGAGAATAATAGAAGAAAACTCCCCTAACCTAAAGAAGGTTATACCTATGAACATACAAGTATCTAACAGGACACCAAATAGGCTAGACCAAAAAAATAAGTCCCCTCACCACATAATACTCAAAACATCAAACCTACAGAATAAAGAGAAAATATTAAGAGCAGCCAAAGAAAAATCCAAGTAACACATAAAGGCAGATCTAACCAAATTACATTTCTCAATGGAAAATATGAAAGCCAGAAGATCCTACAAATGCTAAGGAAACAAGGATGCCAGCCCAGACTACTGTATCAAGCAAATCTTTTAATTGCCATAGATGGAGAAAACAAAACATTCCATGACAAAGCCAGATTTGCACAATACATATCCATGAATCCAGCCCTTCAGAAAGTACTGGAAGGAAAACCACAACCCAACAAAGATAAATACACTCACAAAAAAATAGGCAAAAGACAAACACCAAAAGAAAAAGAGAGGAAAACCTACACACAGTAACACCACCACCAATAAATAAAAAACGAACAAGAATCAACAATCAATGGTCATTAATATCCCTCAATGTCAATGGTCTCCACATGCCTATAAAAAGACACAGACTAACAGAATGGATACAAAGACAGAACCTATCCTTCTGGTGCATACAGGAAACATATCTCAAGATCAAAGATAGACATTACCTCAGAGTAAAGGGCTGGGAAAAGATTTTCCAATCAAACGGACCCAAGAAACAACCTAGTGTGGCAATCCTAGTATCTAACAAATTAGACTTCAATTAAAATCAGTCAAAGGGATGAAGAGTCCATCAAGATAAAGTCTCAGTTCTGAACATCTATGCCCCAAATACAAAGGCACCCACATTTGTGAAAGAAACATTACTAAAACTCAAATTGTACATTAAATCTTACACACTAGTAGTAGGAGACTTCAACACTCTGCTCTCACCACTAAACAGGACCTCCAGACAGAAACTTAACAAAGAAACAAAGAACTAACCGAAGTTATGATCCAACTGGATTTAACAGACATCTATAGAACATTCCATCCAAACACAAAACAATACCTTCTTCTTAGCACCACATGGAACCTTCTCTAAGATCGACCAAACAATCAGAAACATAGCAAACCACCACAGATACAAAAAAATTGGAATAATCCTCTGTATCTTATCAGACCACAAAGCATTAAAATTAGAATTCAACAACAACACAAAATGCAGAAACCCTACAAACTCATGGAAATTGAACAATGCGCAATTGCACCACCCCTGGGTCAAAGAAGAAATAAAAAAGAAATTAAAGACTTCCTGGAATTCAATGAGAATGAAGATACAACATACCCAAACTTATGGGACACTCTGAACGCAGTGCTGAGAGGAAAGTCCATAGCACTAAGTGCCCACATGAAGAAACTGGAGAACAATCACACTAGAGAATTAATGCCAAAATTGAAAGCTCTATAGCAAAAAGAAGCAAACTCACCCAGGAGGAGCAGATGCCAGGAAATAATCAAATTGAGGGCTGAAATCGATCAAATAGAAACCAGGAAAACATTGCAAAGAATCAATGAGGCAAAGAGTTGGTTCTTTGAGAAAATTAACAAGATAGACAAACCTTTGTCCAAACTAACCAAAAGGCAGAAAGAGAGAGCATGCTAATTAACAAAATCAGAAATGAAAAGGGGGGACATAACAACGGGCACTGAGGAAATGCAGGGAATCATCAGGTCATACTTTGAAAACCTGGACTCCACAAAATTCAAAAATTTAAAGGAAATGGACAATTTCCTGGACAGATATCACTTACCAAAACTAAATAAAAAAACAGATAAGCAATCTAAACAGACGTATAACCCTTAATGAAATAGAAACAGTCATCAGAAGTCTCCCAACCGAAAAAGCCCAGGCCCAAATGGCTTCAGTGCAGAATTCTATCAGAAATTCAAAGACGAACTAATTCTAATATTCCTCAAAGCGTTCCACACAATAGAAGCAGGAGGTTTGCTGCCAAACTCTTTTTATGAGGCTACAATTACCTTGGTACCCAAGGAACACAAAGACACAACTAAGAGAACTACAGACCAGTTTTCCTCATGAACATTGATACTAAAATACTGAATAAAATACTAACAAACCGAATCCAAGAACACATCAGAAAAATCATCCATCATGATCAAGTAGAGTTCATCCCAGGGATGCATGGATCGTTCAACAGACAAAAGTCTATCAACATAGTCCACCGTATAAACAAACTGCAAAGGAAAAAAACACATGATCATCTCACTAGATGCTGAAAAAGCCTCTGACAAAATTCAACACCCCTTCATGATAAAGGCCCTGGAGATATCAGGGATAACAGAAACATAGATGAACATAATAAAAG